TGTGAGCCATCCCCCTAACCAACCTTGTACAGTGGTGTTACAGCACAACATAAGAACACACTATAAAAATCAGATCCAATGTTTGAGCATATTTTTATTGGTCAACAGTCTTGAAATGATTAACAAGTGATTGTAGAATAATAATAAAAGATCTCAATTGTCAATTTAAAAGCTGTGAATAAATAAACAGAGACTATCAAAGGTCTAGGGGAGGGGTGGGGATATGCTGTTTTGTCCGAGTCAGAATTTTTTTTTTTAGTTTTTCGATCAAATTATTTTTTTCTAAATTTAACACTATAAGGTATGGGAAAATCTGGGTTCAGAATTTATTTTTTTTTGTCATCTGCATGACAACAATATTTTTTTTTCATCCAAAAAAACATCCATAGCTGCCTGCAAAATAAAAAAGTTATTTAGAAGAATGTAGGAACATTCGAATTCAGTTCAGGAAAAGCACTTGTATTGTTGTTGTTGACATGGACACTATACATTGAAATAATTTTGAAAACTATAATGACTATACTATCGTTATTTTGAAAACGTCTGAAACGTTATGTACATCATCATGTGGATTGTGTGTAAAGTCACACGAGGTAGTTCAAAATGTTCAGAGGGGGGAACGAAGTTTTGTTCAATGTCAAGTTGGATAGTCTCAACCAATCAAATGTTGATTTTGCCATCAATATTTATATACAGTTGAATAAAATGTTTTTGTTAACTTTTATTATTACATTTCATTTTACTTCCCTTTATAGGCTTGAGTGAAAGGAAGAGGAAAACTAGTCTTTAGTAAAGAAACAGATCAATTTATGTAACAGTAACATATGTAATAATTCCAACTGAATATAACAAATAGTGTACATGTTATCAAAATTTATTCACATGTCTACTGGGATTTGTACTCATGTACGTTGTATAGTGTGTTGATAATATATTGAGGGGGTCGGACCTTTATCGGGACTCCGGGATCGGGTGTTTTTAGATCTTTTTAAGCTCGGGATTTCGGGATTGATCCTTTCGGGATCCGGGAATTCTTTTTTCGAATTTCGGGATGTCGGGATTTAAATTTCTTTAAATTCGGTACCTCGGGATTTCAAGTTTTTAAGCCCGGGATTTCGGGATCAGGACCCCTCCGATTAGTTTGTGATTAGGTCAGTTTAAGGGAACCACTAATGGTAGGTCGAAGATATTTGGTATGCAGTTGTATTAGCACTGGAACATCTCATTTCCATAGAGATAATTTAGTACTTATCCCTCAGTTATGGTATATTGACTTTGAAATTTCCTCAGTTTACACTGTAAGGTTTGTGATTAGGTCAGTTTAAGGAGAACCACAAATAGTACATCAAGGATATTTGATAGGCAGTTGAATAATAATTTGCACATCTCATGTGCCTGGAGATTATTTGTCTCTGCGCCCTCAATCATGGTCTAATAATTTTTGCATAGTTTACATGTTAAAGTTTATGATTAGGTCAGTTCAAGATTGAACCGCTATTGGTAAGACATAATATTTGGTATGCAGTAGTATTAGCATTTGCAGATCTCATTTCTATGGAAAATAAATGGCCTCTCCCCTTCATTATGGTTCATTGACTTTAAAACTTTTGCATAGTTTACATGTTAAAACATAGGCAGATCCAGGGGGGCCTGGGGGTCCAGCCCCCCCCCCCCCCTTTTGTGGGAAAAATTTGGTCGATGATATAGGGAATCACTGAAGCATGACTGGAGCATGCCCCCCTTAGGTCAGTCAGCGGGCCCCCTCTTATGAAAAGTTCTGGATCCGCCACTGTAAAAGATTGTGTTTAGGTTAGTTTTATGGGAAACACTTGTGCTAAGTCAATGGTAATTGGTATGTAGTTATAATAGCATTGGCATTTCTCATTTCCATGAAGGTTATTTGTTAAGGTTCATAGACTTTGATTGTATTACATAGTTTACAAGTTCAAGTACTATAATGAATGTTCAGGTAATAAAAAAAAACCCATTATTTTACCTATTGTTTTCAGTTAAGACACATTTTTTGGGATTAATCATCAAATTTCTACATATGTTGGAAACAAATTTCAAAACAAACTTTCCAAATGTATCAGAATTCTGTGTTTAAGAATCTTGCATATAGATTTTGTTTCGGAATTTTTCCCGATTTTTCTAAAGAGATCTGTAAAATAAGTTTTTGCTTGTAGATTTAAGTAAAGAAATCTATGCAACAAGTGCTATCTTATAGATTTAGTTTTCAGGATTTTTCCCGAAAAGTGAAAAGAAATCATTGTCACGAGTTCTAGCATATATTAGTTGGGTTTCGGGATAATTCCCAAAATGTTTGAAGCCATCTGTGTTATACTTTTTGCATATAGATTATTTTTTCGGGACTTCACAAAATATGTTAAGATCTGTTTGTCACATAGCTTTGCTACCAAATGTTTTCAATAATGTTGAAAATGATTTCGGGAATTTTCCCAAATAACAAGTTGTCACGTACATGTATATCTTAACTACAAATTCTGTAAAACTTTCAGATATTTTTTTAATTTTCCTCAAAATTAAATGTAAATTTAATCAATTATAAGAATAAAAGCATGGAATATTGTAAAAATTGTGTGTTTCTAAATGAAATCTGCATTCATTTATGGTAAACATTGAAAAAGCTTTAAAAAAGGAATAAAATGGATTTTACTCTTTTATAGAGTCAGTTTAATAGGGTTTCACAATGGTGGTAATACTCCTCAAACGGATAGGTACTGATAATAGGGCAACTTTACAGAAAATAACATTGATCTATCACAAATAGTTCCATCAAACTGACTTAAACAGAAAACTAAATTGTAAAGGCCGCCACCGGAAAAGCAACACCTATTTCTCCCCTTCCATGACTTTTGTCGCAGGCGAGACAAAAATGATAAATTAAAGGAGATATGAGGTATAATTCATTGAAAATTCACCAAACACGAATAAAAATACCAAAAAGAATTATTATTAGAGGAAAACCGAAGACTATTCTGTATTCTGTTTTATTCTTTATCTTCCTCTATTTCCTACTTGACCTTAGAGGTTATAAAACAGCTAAGCTTTCTCTTTTTAATTGCTCAGCAAGGAATAAGATGATGTTTTGTAATACTTACTTTATATTTAGATTGTTTTTGTTTTTGTAGCACAATTTATATAAAATTTCTGGCTCAAATTTATTGAACTTTTTTAAGGTTCATTTGTGAAAAGCTTGTTTGTTTTAATTCTACGTATATTTCATGCATGTATTCATTTGTATGCCAACTTCCTGAATGACTCCTTTTTGACGATCTTGTCCTTTCTAGCTAAATATAATTTTATCATGTTTAATCCCGCTACATTCTGTATGTGCCTGTCCCAAGTCATGGGCCTGTAAGTCAGTGGTTGTTGTTTGTTGCTTTCTATCATATTTGTTCTTTGTTTATTGTTTTAAACATAGATTAGGCCATTGGTTTCAATGTTTCAGTTTTTGAACATTTTGTTATGTTTGGACCTTTTATAGCTTACTATACGGATAAGGTTTTGCTTATTGTTGAAGGTCATATGGTTACCTATTGTGGCTTACATCCACATCATTTGGTGTCTGGTGGATAGTGGTCTCATTGACATTCAAAACCATATCTTTTTATTTTATAGGAGGCCTCGGTGGCCAAGTAGTCTAAACTACTGTATCACTAGCCTGGATGTTGTGAGTTCAAATCCCACGAGTGGCAGGTGCACTCAACTCCAATCTTAATTGACTAGGATTGTCAGTTTTTCTACCGAAGGTCAGTGGTTCTCTGACCGCCACGAAATAGCACGATAGTGTTGAATGTGCGTTAAACACCAATCAGTCAATCAATCTTACTTTATAGTTACAGTAATTTATTTGTATGGTTTTCTACCTTTGTCAATATGATAATAAAATTGAGAATGGAAATGGGGAATGTGTCAAAGAGACAACAACCCGACCATAGAACAGACAACAGCAGAAGGTCACCAACAGGTCTTCAATGCAGCGAGAAATTCCCGCACCCGGAGGCGTCCTTCAGCTGGCCCCTAAACAAATATATATACTAGTTCAGTGATAATGAACGCCATACTAAACTCCAAATTGTACACAAGAAACTAAAATTAAAAATAATACAAGACTGACAAAGGCTAGAGGCTCCTGACTTGGGACAGGCGCAAAAATGCGGCGGGGTTAAACATGTTTATGAGATCTCAACCCTCCCCCTATACCTCTAGCCAATGTAGAAAAGTAAACGCATAACAATACGCACATTAAAATTCAGTTCAAGAGAAGTCCGAGTCTGATGTCAGAAGATGTAACCAAAGAAAATAAACAAAATGACAATAATACATAAATAACAACAGACTACTAGCAGTTAACTGACATGCCAGCTCCAGACTTCAATTAAACTGATTGAAAGATTATGTTCATATAAGAAAAGATTTTAGTTTGACCAGTGTAGCTAAGTAGCCTAAGTCGTTAATTTTTTGGTGGTCTCTAGCCTATCAACACTGAGGATGTGAGTTCTGACCCTGCTTGTGGCAAGGTACATTCGACTCCAATCTTAATACACTAGGATTGTCAGTTTGGTTTCTCTCAGGGAATCAGGCTTGCTCCACTAATAAAAACTGGCGGCAGCCATAAGATATTACCAACAATGCAGATAGCGTTGTTTAACACCAAAAATCAATCAATCAATCTAGTTTGACAAATTTACAATTATTTCTATTCTGTTTATATTTTGAAGTGAACTGGTCTGGAGGAAAGCAGAATTCAACTAGGTAATTTTTTTACATTTTGCAAGTAAATTTCAAACTAGGACATATCCTAATAGATAAATTGCATCTTGCAATTGTTGTTTAATTGATTATAGACAGTCTCTAACTTCTATCTGACAAGCTAGAATAAAGGCTAGATGACCATTGACACTCAGTCCTCCCAACTCTAAATAGAATACAAAGAAAAAAGGAATGAAAAAGACAAATAAATAAAAACAAAAATATCAGTTATGACAAAACTGTATTCAATACTGAATCACAAAAATAACAAGTGTTTTATCACAGAAAACAGAATACATAAGTGTAAAATTAACAATAATTAATTAACTATGTCATGTCTGCATGGTTATATAACTGATGCTTGCATTTAAATTAGATTCCATTTAAACTTGTTACAATAGGATTCTCTTGAAAAAAGAGTAGAGACACTTAAAAAAAAGATGATGGTTTTTGAAACTCCTACTTAAAAAATTTAAAATAGAGCATAAATCAGTTAGGTGTTCACCCATTTATTTGCATCAACGATTTCCAGACATATCTTCAATTGGTTTTTTTTAATAAGATTAAATTCATAGACACCAGAAGTAAGTTTAAATAGAATTAAAATAACACATTCTTTAAAATAAAATTGTGGCTTTTTAGGATGAAACTTGATTCTTCATAGCTAAATTAGAATAAGATGTTACCATGTCAAAATTCAATTTCAAATTTTCAACGGGTCTTTAAATAACGTTAAAGTACATAGTCATTTTTTAGGGTATCCAATGCCTCTAAGATAAACTTTTCTTTACAAAAATACAATTTTACTGTTAATTTTATAATATAACAACTTTCAGAAAATTTTCATGAGTAAACTTTGATATTGACTAATATTAATGACAAACATATAAGAAATAACAGTTGACTATCTACTGGAAAATAGAGTTCTAGGCACCATTTGTGAAATAATGATTTCATATGAACAAAAATAAAAATACTATTAAAACAAATATAATAAACATTTTGATGGTATTTGTGCATGACAATAAAAGATTAAAACAGAAAATTACATTGATATAATTATGGTAGTAACATATAAAGCATCACTCCAAAAATTGGCAACATGCCAGAGCTTAATCAAAATATTAAGCTACAAAAGGGAATCACTGAAACTTCAAAATGGATGATTGCATCCATGGTTTATTCCCTAATTTCAAAGTTTCTAAACAGAAATTATTTACTATTATTCATAATAGAAATATTTTTTGTTGAATCTGAGCCCTGAACTTGGAATGAATGGAATTAATCAATAAAATTATAAAACAAAATAACTGAATGGAATAGTCACACATGAATAATATATTCATAAAATTAAAAAAAAAAAATAAAAAATATCACATTTTGCTTATAAACAATTACTTAACATCAATATTAGAAATTTCCCTTTGAAATATCAAATACTGACATCTAGTCCTAACTGTACAAGGCACTAATACTATACTACAGTATAATAGATGTCAACTTTCCAAAACCCCAAAAAAAAAATTTCCCTCTGATGAATTTTTCGCTATTGGGAGATTAGCTGCAGAAGAAATTGTATATTTTTGATTGAAATTATCATAACAATCATTCAGTCATTTCCTTTATGAATTAATAGGCTAGAACAACAATTAATCAGTCATTTATGTAAGGTAGATTGGGCACTGTATATTTTGTAAAAAATACTGTTACATGCTTTTTTTGGCGGAGTTCAAATTTCACTACTTCTATGGCTAAACAGATTTGTGAGGTTTTATTTTGTTGTTTTTGTTGTCAAAAATTTAATATAATCCAGGGAATATCTTTAAGAATTGACCTTAATCACAAAGTAAAGGAAAAATAAACTCATCACATAAGTTTCCCGCTTTACAGAACACTGCTTAAGCAAAAACAGACAACTTGACTATTTGTAGTCAATTAAGAGGGAAACAATTGCCAGTTTGTAGAGTTTTAAGACTTGCCTTCAGCAGGGGATTTCCTTTGTTTTATCGGGGACCTCTCACCAACATTTGGAGAGTTGACAACTCTATTTAATTCTATACAATTATTATCTATTATGACAGCAGTTTACCACCGATTTGGTAAGACAAATTTTAAATTCATGTCCTTTATACAAAATAAATATATAAATAATGTAAAAACTAAATCTAAAATACTATATACAATTCAGCAGAGTACTGCAGCAGTTAATTCCAAATATACACAGCAGTTAAAGACCACAAAAAGACTATTGCCTGGTAATAAGTATTTACATTTATTATCAATTTTATTATAAGAAGGCCCCTTAAATTCTCATATATTTTAAAATTAAAACTTAATCCAGTTCTGAGATACTTTATGCATTTAAACAGAATTTTCTGGCAACACTTTCAGTCAGGTCAATTGCATGTAAAATAAAACGAGTTATGGTATAAATTAGCCAGCCTACTTATATCATAATAATGACATTTAATAACAATAATAATAATATAATATAGAGATTCATAAACTGATTAGGGTTTCAAATATTGGTTAGGGCTGTTAAAACTGGGATTAGAAGGCACTTTTTATTTTACCTTCCCATGCATAAAATCTTAATTGATTATTTCCTATAACTCTTTAAGCTTACTTTCTAAAATAATCACCACCCGTTAAATTTGAATAAAAGGGTCTTTCGCCCCTTCACAATCAATTCTGGAACAGTCATTTGCTGTGTGGAAAAGGAAACCAATAAGGGAAGAGTTGGCATATATACACAGAAAGTAAGCTCTTCTCTAGAATGCACATCTCACTACTTTTATAATGAAAAATAAGCACCATAAGTAAACTTTTTAGACTTAGTATCAGGAGGTACTTTCTGTTTGGTTTTCCTTTGCAGGTAAACTTAGTCCAAAAACATTTTTTCCTTAGAATAGGAATAATAAAAAAATAGATATAACTACTCAATACAATAAAATCAACATTAATTGTTGATCCAATTCTGTGATTTACTGAAATTTAGTGGTTGGTGGGATCTTGAATTAAAAGATTGAAAGTTAAAATAAAAGATTAAACATTATAAATACTTTATTGGTGATTTTCTTTGTTGAAAATTAGTACTTTGCGGTTAAAGAAATTAATGTAAACAATGTAAATTAGTACGCCACAAATAAAAATCATTTACAGAACCCTGTTTCTAACTTGTTTCTACTCTAAAGTTTCATCTGATCTTTTAAGATAAAAATGGATAACTGACTTACTCTCAGAAGTCCATTAATTGTCCATTACTAGTCAATAACTAGACAATTACTTGTCCATTACTATTCCATTACTAGTGATGGACTTCTGATTCTACATATATTTACTTTATTATACTTCACTCAAATGCAATATATGAATACACAATGTTGCATATAAATATACTGCAATGCATCCATCCCTTTTATGCACATTAAACAGGAATGGTTAAACAGTCACTGTACCCATGCAAGAAAAGGGAGAGAATTTATACAGCACAAGATAATTGCAGCAGAAGACAATTTCAAACAAATTATCCCCCTTTACAAGTATTTGAATTCATTAAAATATCTCCAATTGATATATAAAGCACAAGCATGACATGTTATGAAATATCTCTTGTGAGAAATCTCTGAGGTAAATCACTACTGAACAGCAGTTTCTAATTGTGCTTGACTGTTTGTCATCATATTTGTTTGTGAGTTCATTGGATCCACAGCTGATTGATTAATTGATGTTCTTGATTCCTGGGCAGGGTTCTCAGGTCCTAGCGTCAGTTCCGGCAGTGCTCCAAATCGTTTTGGATCATCAGGTATTCTAAACAAATGATTATCTCTCTCAGTATCTGTTAAAGGGATGATATCCTTTCTGTGAAGTAATGCCCTTTCTTTATGTATTGCACTGAAATTAGAGAAGCAAATATTCATTTCTATTCTACCTATCAAACATGTAAGTAAAGAAATAGAAAAATATCACTTATTAAACTAATGGAGCTACCATTTGATTTTTATGGGGGGGGGGGGGGGGGGGGGGGGGGGGGGGGCTAGGATGAAATTTGAAAAAAAGGCAGGACAGGAGTTTTGAGTTTAAAAAAAGGCAGGATGACAATTTATGTAAAAAAAGTCAGGATAAACTAATAAAAAAAAAGGCAGGACTGAATAGAGTAAAAAATAAAAAAAGGACAGAGATTACAACTAAGAAAAAAATGCAAGACAAAATTTTTCAACCTAGCCCCCCCCCCCCCCCCATAAAAATCAAATTGTAGCTCCCTAAACTGGCTCTAACTTTTTGTTAAATAAGAGTGACTATATTAATAAACATGAAGTTTGATATTCATGAGTTGTAAACAAAGTCTTGTGTCTTGTATAATCAGGTCAACGTGTAAGATTAGCCAAAAAGCAATATTCATATGTTGATCTTTAATCAGATAATACTCTGAATTTATTATCATTTGCGAGATACTAATTTTTGTTGATTTCATGCGTATAGGTGATAAACAATTTGTATTGTTTAAGGAAATACTTCTTCAATCCTCAAAAAACTAGGTACCAAAGAAAATAAAAACATCCAGAGTAACCTTTTAATGGTAAATCTTTTAATATTATTAATTTCTACTTACTTAAAGTCCTGTCCTTTTTTAAACCTGAATCTTTGGTGTTCATAGTCTGGTACTGGTATCTTATTCTTTTCCATCACCCAGCTGTTTTCCTCAAATGGTCCTGGATTGAATCCTTTGTTTTTCTCATTTCCTTCTCCTGGAACGGCAGGTAATAAAGGCTTGCCTTCCAGTCTGGATAATGAGTCTACGCTTGGATTTAGAACAACATTTAATGGTGGTATGTCTCTCAAGGAAAAGCCTGGTCGTTTCAAACTTAATTTTTCTGGCTTTTCTTTCAATAAACCTTTCAATTTATCAATTTGATTCTGGCCTTTTTCGTTCAATTCTGTTTCTGGTAAACATCTGTGAAAATGTCCCCTCGGATCCTTCACAATTATCTTAGATTTCCAAGTTTCATAGTCTTGTTTAAAGGCTTCTAATTTTTCTTGTTTAAGTTTTTGTCCTGCCAGATGAATTGTGACTGGTTCCCTGCCAAATGTTGTGGCTGGTCTCCTATAGAGTTCAAGGTCTTCTGATCGGTGTTGCCATGGGAACTTGTCTCTATTAAGTGGTGGTTGTAGCAATCCAACATGGAGTATGTTTTCAATCCATTGCTGAAATAATAAAACATAAATAAATTCTTGGCCAATTTTATAATTTCACTGACCAGTTAATTGTATTTTAATAATCAACATGTGGTTTAATTGTTCTCAGTTCTTAATTGGTATAAATTCAATTATTAATTCAAACTGTCTTGACTTCCTCTGAATAACTATTTTGACATTTCGAGAAAGGGTGACCATTCCTGAAGAAATCTAACAGAAAGAATGCATTTTTAGCAGAATAATGAAATTGGTTGTTTCTTTACTCTTGACAGTTAAAGAGGTTCCTGAGGACGCATTTCCCCAGTATTTATTTCACTCAAAGGTTCAAAATCTAAAAGGTGTCAATACCTATTGCAAATTGAACATTAGAGAGTCCATATCATATATACTTCGAATTTTTTTCAACAATTTACACATATCCATAAATTCAAAATACTACTCAGCTCTACATGTTGCTGTTGTAGGCATTTTGATTTTTTACATGTTTTTGTAAAAATTTTGCATCAATCAACATTACTAACCAAAATAATATTAAATCACATTCGAAAGACAATTTATATCTTCACTTCCTACATAATTTTTTGTTTTGGTTAAAGATGTACTTCCAATAGATTTTTGGACAAAACCTGTCAATATTGTGGTTTTGGACTATATTAAGGTGCTTATAATTTGGTGATTTGGTAAGAAATAAGCCTTAATATTGTTAGAACCTCAAAGTAAACATGGACATATGGTTCAATGAATTAAAGTAAAGGTAGAAAGGTGTTTTGAAAATGGCCCTGGTGTGAAATAAATTCAGGAGAAATTGGCCATACCTCTTTTAAACATGAAAGCCTCAAGTTTTAAATTTGAAAAATTAATTCTTTTAAGGGACAAATTACGCACCACACTAGATAGAGTAGTAGAATCTATATTAACACTGATAATAAATCATCAAAGCAGTATTTTTGTTCATAAACAGGTAAAACAACTGGTTTCATCTTTAAACATTTAATATTTTCATTTATGATGAGATATAATCAAGCATGATTTAAATAATTGGAGAATGTGTCCACGTTATAATGGGGCATGACTCAAGTGACGCCACCTACTTGATCTGTGTTCTGTCATAATAAGCATTGTGTATAAGTTTCATAAGATTTGGTTGAGGCAAACTAAAGTTAGAGAACGGAAAACAATTTCGGGACGTACATACGGACGGTAACACTTGATGCCCCATCCGGTGACGCTGGGAGCATAAAAAAAAGGAAACCTGAAGATTATTTGTTGCATAACATTACAAAAACTACTATTATGACAATTATCTACCTCTCGTAGAGAGTCTCTCCTTGGTGTTCCTGGTTTCTTGGGATGTATATTACTCTCCTGCATTGTCCTAAAACCAGGATAAATCAATCCTTTCTCTGTCTTCCACCGAGCCTTTGACTCAGCCTCTGCTTGTTTCTTCAGAGCTTCAACATTAACTGGTACTACGGTCATTGAGTGATGATAGTCTTGGCAGTAAGTATATCTTGTGTCAGGGTTCTGTAAGAAATCATATATTCACCATAAAATATATATAAAATTGGCAGATTTTCATAAATTTGCATGTGGATCGAGAAAATATTTGAAGGAAAGATATATTACAAAGCTGATCAAGCATAAATGGACTTTTAGTCAAAAATAGGAACTAAAGTTGACTCATCTACACCTTAATTTAAAAAAAAAAATATCTATGCATTAACAAAAACTATTCTCCTGCAAGAGGTGACATAAATATTTTTGGCCTTATTTCAAGGACAAATTTAAAACAGCTGATGCATTATGTGATTGTCATTATTTACAGGGGTGACTGATTGGTCAACCTATTATTTTTAGGGATGTTGAGACTGATGAACATATATAACTTACAAAAATTGAAGTTGAATTTTAAATTATTCAATTGCAATAACTAATTGAAATTCTACTGAAAAACATACCTGAGCCAACATCTGTCTGAGATTTTCTTTAGCGAGTTCTGTTGAATTGAGATGATGTGTGCTATAGTTATGTGCCACCTTGACATCAGCTTTAACTGTAGGAACTTTATTCATGTCATTCTCAGCTTTGTTGATATCACTGGCAAATTTAATCATTTCCTTAAAGAAAATGTAGTCTTAATCAAATTTTTAAATTTTCAAGGTTATGCAGTCAAGTTTGAAATTAGTACAAAATTACTTTCAAGCTTGAGCATTATGATTAGTTAAAGAGAAAAGGATTGATACTATTTCAAGTGACCAGCTTCAAGAATATTTGGAATTTTTCTCTTGCTTTTTAATATCAATGCCATATTTTTTTTTTACATTGTAATTGAAAATGAAACCTCCATTACCATGTGAAGTTATATAATGTCAAATTGTTTATAAATAGAAATCATTTTGAAACTAAACTAGAGGCTCTCAAGAGCCTGTGTCGCTCACCTGATTCTACTTTGGTTTTGGAAATCATGTAAAAATAGATTAAAATCATAACAGATACCCTAATAATGAGTGAGGCCAAATTTGGTTTAATATTGGTCCTGTAATTTAATAAAAAAATCCTGGTGGCCATCTTGAACAGTAAATCGGCAACAAAGTAGCAACACTTAATCAGCACCTCATAAGAAACATTTATGCCATATTTTGGTTTCATTCCATTCAGTGCACCTCTAGAAGAAGCATTTGTATGTATTTCCCATAGGGTCTTATGTTAAAGGAAGTCCCCCCATTGGCGGCCATCATGGATGAAGGATCAGCTTCAAAGTAACAAAACTTAGTCAGCACCTCATAAGGAACATTCATGCCATGTTTGGTTTCAATCCATTCAGTATGTGGTTCTATAAAAGAAGACATTTGTATGTATTGTCCATAGGGTCCTTTGTTAAACATTGTCCCCATCTGGCAGCCATCATGGGTGAAGGGTCAGCTTCAAAGTAACAACACTTGGTCAGCACCTCAAAAGGAACATGCATGCCATGTTTGGTTTCATTCCATTCAATGGTTCTTTAAAAGAAAACATTTGTACGTATTTCTCATAGGGTCCTAAATTAAACTAAGTCCTCCGCTGGCGGCCATCTTAGATTATGTATCGGCTTCATAAACACAACACTTGGTCAGCACCTCATAAGGAACATTCATGCCATGTTTGGTTTCATTGCATTCAGTGGTTCTCTAAAAGAAGACATTTGTATGTATTTCCCATAGGGTCCAATGTTAAACTAAGTCCCCCGCTGGCTGCCATCTTGGATGATGGATCAGCTTCAAAGTAACAACACTTGGTCAGCACCTCATAAGGATCATTCTTGCCATGTTTGGTTTCATTCCATTCAGTGGTTCTCTAAAAGAAGACGTTTGTATGTATTTCCAATAGGGTCCCATGTTAAACTAAGTCCCCCGCTGGCGGCCATCTTGGATTATGGATCGGCTTCAAAGTAACAACACTTGGTCAGCACCTCATAAGGAACATTCATGCCATGTTTGGTTTCATTCCATTCAGTGGTTCTCTAAAAGAAGACACTTGTATGTATTTCTCATAGGGTCCCATGTTAAACTAAGTCCCCTGCAGGCGGCCATCTTGGATTATGGATCGGCTTCAAAGTAACAACACTCGGTCAGCACCTCATAAGAAACATTCATGCCATGTTTGGTTTCATTCCATTCAGTGGTTCTCTAAAAGAAGACATTTGTATGTATTTCCCGTAGGGTCCAATGTTAAACTATGTCCCCTGCTGGCGGCCATCTTGGATTATGGATCAGCTTCATAGTAACAACACTTGGTCAGCACCTCATAAGGAACATTCATACCATGTTTGGTTTCATTCCATTCAGTGGTTCTCTAAAAGAAGACATTTGTATGTATTTCCCATAGGGTCCCATGTTAAACTAAGTCCCCCACTGGCGGCCATCTTGGATTATGGATCGGCTTCAAAGTAACAACACTATGTCAGCACCTCATAAGGAACATTCATACCATGTTTGGTTTCATTCCATTAAGTGGTTCTATAAAAGAAGACATTTGTATGTATTTCCCATAGGGTCCTATGTTAAACTAAGTCCCCCGCTGGTGGCCATCTTGGATTATGGATCAGCTTCAAAGTAACAACACTTGGTCAGCACCTCATAAGAAACATTCATGCCATGTTTGGTTTCATTCCATTCAGTGGTTCTCTAAAAGAAGACATTTGTATGTATTTCCCATAGGGTCCCATGTTAAACTAAGTCCCCCGCTGGCGGCCATCTTGGATGATGGATCCGCTACAAAGTAACAACACTTGGTCAGCACCTCATAAGGAACATTCATGCCATGTTTGGTTTCATTCCATTCAGTGGTTCTCTAGAAGAAGTTCAAAATGTAAAATGTTAAGGCCGACGACGGACGACGGACGCCAAGTGATGAGAAAAGCTCACTTGGCCCTTTCGGGCCAGGTGAGCTAAAAAGGTACCTTATTCTCCTTGATAAAATCCAATTTAGTCTTTTCTTTATCTGGTGATGCCAATTTTTCTATGTAATCTGTGTTCAAGTGGTCAATAGGAGTCCAGATTCTGGACGTCTGCCTTAGAATATTTGGTTCTTCTTCAACTCTCACTTCAGTTTCCTCCATTGTCTTTTCTCTTACTGGTTGTAATTCTGAAAAAAAGGTAAATAAATTAAAAAAATTGAGAAATTATAGGGATGTTTTTATTAATGTGAAAAATGATCAGGTTTGCAGTAATAAAAACTTGCATTCATAATTTCATAAGTGATTTTCCTTCATAACATTTGTGCAATCACATTAATTAGACTTTGAATTTTCTCAATGGTCAAGGATGGTCAACTGTTTAATGCATAAGTTTAACATCACATAACTATAGTGGACCTTCGTCACTAAATATGATGCATAGACTGACAAAAGATCCTTCCACTGTAAAAACATGACAAAAATATCTTTTTGGTGATCTTGTATTCACATCCCCCTTCCTCCCCATACCTTCCGCACAATTTTCTATGGAACACTTAACTCCTTAATCATAGATATCACAATATAAAAACTTCTGAAAACCTAACTCCTCTTCTGTCTACCCCTGCACCGTCTTCTAACCTTACCTTCAAAGTCCTCCTGTGTTAAAGGAACACCAAATTCTTTACTCATAGATATCACCATATCAGCTGTTGGAAACAAGCCATTCCTCACAACATTTTTCATCTGAGTTAACTTTGTTATCTGAAAAGTTATGAAAACATATACAAAGTTAAGTTCTCAAGTTCTATTTCTGTACTGATATCATGTTTTTTTCTCTGCACAGTACTATTTGTTATACCATTTCTAATAATCAAGATAAAATGGAGAATGTTAAGCATGCACAAAACTAGTTTGAAATAAACTCACCAAATATTGATGTTCATATCCCAACTCCCTAACATCTACAGATATGGCAAAGTTCTGACTGAATATTAAATATGACTGTGATCATGCAAATTTAAAAAAGTCCTTAATTTTGTTTTTCAAATGGTGCTGCTCAAAATATATAAAAATAAAATAAAGCATCTGCTATCTACCTACCTCGTACAATTTGACTAGAGCTTCAAAACACGGTCTAGGCACCATGTCTCTGACATACAATAAAGGTTGCTGGACTATAATAGACAGGGGTTCATGAAGCTTAACTCTACATAGATCAACATCCAATGGTCCATATAATCTTTCTCCAAAACTATAGTCAGAGTTATATAATACACGAACATCTGAAATAATACATAAACATTTAAAATAGCGCCTCCTTAAATTATAATATATTCCATTCCTATGGTAATTAATGACACAGGTCGTAAGGTTGACCTTTATCACTCTATTCCAAGTTGTCCTTACAATAAAATTTACTATAATTATTTTTGTTTCCATTTTATTTTTCATAAATAGCTTTAAAAAAACGTGTTCTCAATCTTTTTTTAATGGTGCTATTTCAATGAATAAAGATAAGTAAACTTGAGCTTTCATATTTTGATATTTTTGGCATTCAATTATTCAGATGTTATTAATAAAGACTCAGCACCATTTTGCAAATCAAACCACGTTCCCATTTTCAAACAGCATACATTTGATCATAAATCATGCTACTTTTCTTTACAAAAATTGTTAAATCAAAATAATTCCCCTAGATAACCCCCATAACTTAAATACAAAATGAGTACCTGAAAGCATAACTGACAATAATTCACTAAAATAAATATAAACTAAGTCTATTCATAGCCTACCTGTATTTTCCGGTCTAGGAAGGGAGTCCCATAGTGACATCACAGCCCTTTCTCTCATTCCCTCAAGTATAAAAAGATGCATATCTCCATCCATAAGCTGGAAACCTGTTACTATATCTAAATCTCTACTTCTTTGTTGTTCTCTGAAACATGGATAAACTCATGTAAATATAGAAACTTACTCTACATTTTGTTTCCTATTCCATGGATTTATCTAAGGAATGACTGTAATATATTTTCTGTCTATGAAGAAATAACATAAAGAATGTGGTGCACACTGAATAACCCATGTAGCGAGTTATTTAAAAGTTCGCACCACATTTTTGAGGTTATTTTGAATAGACAGAAAAATTATTATAGTCATTCCATATAATTTAACTCTAAATTCCATTTTTAAGGAGTTAATCATGAAAAAACGTTGATGACACCACGGTCACATGACAAAATTGTGTCTATGAGCTGATAGACAAAAAACTTTCTGCCAATCAGAAGACGTGTTACATCCAAAATTAAATTATAAGTTAATAAAGACAATTGTTAAACTACAAATGGTATCATACAAAGGTGATTTACATTCCTTTTTGCTTCTGTGGCTGAATAGTCTATATACACCTACCGCGACATTTGTCTCTTAAATATAGAATAACCATTCATTGTCTCGAAATATAAATTTTATTGGTACAAGGCTTAAAAACAGGTAGAAAGCGAGACTTTGCCGAGCATTTTATCCTGTTTTGAGACGAGAACTAATAAAAAAATTTTCGAAACAATGTATGGTTTTTCTCCTACAACTGTTCCAAATGAAATATTTAGGGTAAAAACCATCATTTTTATATTTGGAGCGAACAACATAAAAATTCCACGAAGCTGTACCTTTTAATGACGTCATATATAATACTCTATGGAAACGTATTGTCAACGTCATAAACAAGGCGATATACAGTCAATGACTGTACATCACAAAAATTGAAATGATTATACGGTCAATGCAATTTGACTGCTCAAATTGCACAGCCTCAGTATATACCTTGATATATAGTATGGTTACTTGTATAACACTGAAAACCGAATGTTGGCCAAAAATCCTTTTTTGGGATTTTAGGGTATTGTTGAATATCTGTTTCATTTATGTATACACAACATCACCTTTTGCAACAGATCACCACAACCTATCACCAAATCCATAGTTCTTGTCATCTTCATGTCTGCTCATTTTGAAAATAAGCAAATGCCTTTCATCTTTTGGTATGTGATAAAATATGGAAGTTATTTTTCAGGGTTTCTTGCTTATTTAATTTATAAAAAGTTCTCCCATTAATAAAACTGAGTGCAACTTATGCAAATATAGAAAAAATGGCTTGCAATGGTATCAAATAAATTAAATCATGAGTCTGCTCTCATGTATGAGTATTCCAGGCAAATATTCAGAAAATACTTTAAAAAAACAGTTGTCACATGTGATACTGCATGTTTCCCATGACATCAAATAGCAACACTACAGAATCCTTATTGACTACAAACAATAAATAAAGGAAACCAATTTCATAAACATTGTATTATACTTACAGTGAAAGTTTATAAGTTGACAAGGCAGCATTAATTACATGTTGAGGCATGTCATCTAGTTCTAAAGCTTGGGCATTGATCTCCACAACAAGTTCTTGTAATCTGGTTAACATGCTGGTGTTCTTGTAGTCAAACATAAATACTATCCTACTAAAGGGACACTAAAAGTAGAAAAATAAAAAAAGTATGATATGATAAAGAAACTTTCGATAAAGAACACAACAGTATTTTAATCACTGTAGATTAATTTATAATCATGGTACTGATTTTCATGGATGGAGAAAAAATACTCTTTGCATGGACACATAATTTCTTGGATTTGAAAAGTTCTGCATACATGTCTATAGGAAACTTGTATTTTGTTGAACATTAAAATTAGATGTTGGAAGTTAACCTCTACCTCTGACATCGAGCAATAGATAAGCTCAAACCCAATCATTCATTTTCTCTATTATGAAACAGTACTCACGACTACATAACTTGTACAAGAGATAACCACAGCTATTTTAAGACAGAAAGTTAATCTCTCTTTAATAATTTAATTTCATTTTTTGGACCCACTTATATTGAAGAATACTGAAAATTAAAGACTGTAAAATTAGAAAGGTGAATTACTTTTAACATAAATGGATGAGGGTATGAAATATATATTTGTATAAAGAAATCTCAGAACAGAATTTTAGGTTAAATTTTAGAACTTAAGAGTAAATTTAGAACTGAAGGGTAAATTTTAGAACTTAAAATATTACATAGATACTTACCTCTATTGTAAGTGGATATTCAATTTTGTCTGACACTTTCTTTACACTGACCAAAGGATAGGCCACTTCAACTTTGACCTTTAGCATAGTATGTGACTGAATGTAATGTCCTGCTGGTAATGGTTTATCAACTGAAAAAAAAACAACATTAGACATGGGTTTAACTTGCGAAAACAAACAATAATTAGTCAACTTTTATAAGAAACAAATTAAAAGTTGAATTGTGACAGGTAAGAATTTCAACAAAAGGGGAAATTAAACATACCCTCTATTTATACTTCTCACTATTCATGTATTGTGTATCCTCAGCCATCGTTTTTTCAGTTTTACTTTTTAGCATTCCTGATGAAGGTAAACTCAAAAATGCACTTCTGATGCACAAAATTTAAAAAGAGCTTTTTTTACTTTCTAGCAATTTGTGGGAAAACCTTCTGGTGTACTGCTTGTCCCTAAGAGTATCATCAACTCAGTAGTCAAGTGTTTCGAAAATGACATGATTTAGAACATACTTTTCACTAATTCTAACTTGATACATTTAGGAATCATTAAAAACTAAGTTTCCAACTCCATCAGGCAAAGTTGACCTTTTTGGGATTTCACAATTCTTTCTATGCACCTTTTTTGTCAAATAGACCTTCAAATATTCAATTATTTATACATCCTTGACTTTGAAATGTTTGGATTTGAGCATCCCTGATGAAGATAAATCCAGAAAGGGCTTCAGAAACAACTAATTTATAAAGGGTTATTTAATTTTCTTCCACCAAACATACCTGGTCCATCAACAGCTCCAGTCATTCCAACGACCTTTCCGTCTATTTTATCACCATTTCCTAAGACTTCTGGAACTGTGCAATTATGTATGGGAACTTTTATATGTATATACTGATGCCCTAATAAAAGTTCTGATAAATCTAACTTGGCAACACCATATGGATCCCAAGGTTTGTTTCTACCTACAAATGGGTTATTTATTGTCCTTCTACCTGTAAACAACAAAAGAGACATACATGAAAGTTATACATGTATAACAATCCATAATTTGAAAGTTCCATCAGATATTTTAAAAAGCCACACAACATACCTTAATTTACATTTCTAATGTAGAGGTCTTGAAACTTGTTGGTGAATGTCAAACCATTATAGAATGAATCTGCTGTTTATACAGCATAACTGTGTTAAGATTATGGACAATTTAGACAACTTTTCTATTGCAGTTTATATAGATGATACTTCCATCCTACTTTAAATTTTTGTCAAATTTTTACAAAAATTTTTAAAATAAGTTTCTTTTTTTAAGAAATGAAATTAATTGAAAACATTTTTTTCCCTTTACTTAGTTCAAATAATTCCGATATAATTCATTAAAACAAAGCACCAAATTTTAGAGAGGAATTAAACCTACTTGCTACAGTGCCAACATTACTAATCTTTTCATCCTCAAGGTCATCTCCAAACAATGCTGGTTTTGGTTTACACTCTTCCCCTTTCCTGTCACGATCGTGTATTTCTAGTTCAAAAGCTGGTCCGTTTAGATATTGCCTTAATTCTGATGGCTCTATTGTACCTGAAATTATGCATTTATATAAGCACATTTTGTTTTTGTAGTCAGTCAGTCAGGTTTTTCCTCATTGGTTTATTGAGTTTATATACTTTTTAATGTGAAATACTACATTAATAAATGGATGACTGATTGCTTGACATCAAACATCTTCATCTCTCTATCCATCCATCCATCCATTAAATTCATGCATTTTTAAAATTTCTTTTCTTGTCATAGTTTATTACCTGCATCTGTGTTCTTCAATGCACAGACCAGTGTACCATTAACGAATTTCAGCAAAGAATTTAGATGACTGTGGATTCATTATTATTCATGGGATACCATTTTCGTTGGCAAAGGTAAATGGAGATTTTAAAAATTCAGTGGCATACAAATTTTCTATATGCTTGTATGCAGACTTTAGCAAAACCACAAAATCAAATATCCATGAAAATACAATTTTTCCTAAATCTGTGAAAAATTGTTATCCACAAAAAATAAATAACAAAAGAATGTGTCTGAGGACACAAATGCCCCTGCTCAAGCTTTGCAATTTTAAAAAAGTTAAAAAGTGGCATAACTCTAGTACAGTAAATGACTCACTGCCCAAATTCAAACTCTGTCTCCTTGTTTTGGTTTTAAGCATTGTATATGAGTTTCATAAAATTTGGATGAGGATAACTTGTTAGAGTGCGGAAACAAAAATGGGATGGATGGACGGACGGTCAAGAGTAACACTTAGTGCCCCTCTGCCTACGGCGGGGGCATAATGAATCAACAGCAATTGCAGTGAGATGTTAACTTCAATTATGTTGAAGGCCTCACAGTGCCATTGAGATGAAGAACAGAAATAAAAGTGCTGCTGGAAGGGATTTTGTGACATGAATTCATAACATCATTTTCCATTAATATTTTTTACTATTACCTGCTAAAACAACATTTATATCATCCCAGTAGATGTTTTTACCATGTTCTCTCCCTACACTGATATGTTCTGGCTGTTTGTAGAACTTATATTTACAATATACAGGCTGGCATCTGAAATACAAGAGATATTTTATTTATAAGTAAACATAACCGCTTCTAGTGAACTTGGAGTGGGGTGATTTACAATATACAGGCTGGCATCTGAAATACAAGAGATATCTTATTTATAAGGAAACATAACCGCTTCTAGTGAACTTGCAGTGGGGTGTGAGCTTTTTGTTCTTTGTTGAAAGTCTCACTGCAACTTTAAGTTTTTTAAGATGAAGAACTGCAATAAAAATGTTATTCTTTTACTTTTTTCAAGTTATTACAATGACCCATATATAGATGTTAACATCTTCCATCTATGATGGGTGGTTGTCTTATTTGGAATCATACAACTTTTCCTTATTTTTATATTTGTGTAGGGATTTTGTGTCATTTATAAATACACTTTAATTTTTTAAATTATTTCAGTTTACTCTTGGCATGTGAAGTATTTAATGGCAAGTAATTCATTGTCTTCCACAAGCAAGAATTGAAAGAGATATACCTCTGCTGGTGGACTATCAGTCCCTGAGGGTATCATCAGCTCAGTAGTCAGTACTTCGATACTGACATGATTTATAACAAACCTTTCTTAAAGTATCCGTTCATAAATTTTGAAATTATAAGAAACTAAGGTTTCAGCTCCCTCAGGCAAAGTTGACTTTAGATGGATTTGGCCATTTTTTTAGATCCTTTTTGGTAATATAGGTCTTCAACTGTTTCCTTTCTTATACATCCTTGGCTTTCAAATATTCCCCTTTGAGCATTCCTGATGAAGATAAATCTAGAAAAGCGCTTTGGACGCATGAAATTTTGAAGTGTTGTTTACATTTTTACATTTCTGAAAAATTAAAATTACCTTAAGCTAAGATCACTATATGATAATGGTGTTTCTGGCATATTCTTGGCTGACGAAATTTTAAATATCATAGGATTAAGTTGTTCTTTGTGTATGTCTGCCATCAATTGATCATCAAGTTCTATTGTTACAAAACAATCTTCTACCCCAGGTACAGGGCTCTCTAATCTGTTCGTGACTGTCCTCACTCCTTAAATTATAAAAAAAAAAATGCTTTTTGTCTTTTAGAGAATATGGTGTTGATGGCAAAGCTTTGAAAGTGTTTAGTAAATTTCTTCACAACTTTTCAAGCTACATACCTGGCTTTGCAGTCATAAACATTTTGAGTACGATTATCGTACTCAGACCTTGAAAACAACAATCTAATTACTAGATTTGGTGTTTCAAGCACAAATTTTGTTCTCCAGGTACTGAGTAAAGTTTCATGATAGAAAGACCTGGAGAGAGAGTACCTTGATTTATCTATAGACACTTGTCTATACTGCAAACATGGGAATTTTCACTAATAAATAGATGAGGATATTTTTGTCTATTTCGTGATAAAAAATGGCCAATAGTTATAATATCCCAACATGAGTAATTTGTATACAGCAACACTATTGATGGGAAGTTCCAACTAAGTGCTCATTCTGTCATGAATTTAATCCCCACTCAAAAAAGTGTATGCAATGAAATCGTGAATTAACAAACCTCAAAATTTTATTGTTCAACAAAATACAAATTTTCCAAATGTTTGTAAGAGGAATTTGTTAAAACAATGAAACAAAGTTTCAAAATAAAATACAATGTTTCCATAATCTATTAAATTGGTATCCACAAAAGTGCTGGTTGAAATACTTTAAATCTTGTAAAAAATCGTTACTAATGCCATTCAAACAACCTTTTCTTTTAATACAAATACATCTTCATAATATTTGAAAGACATGATTTCAAACTTTATAATGCTGTCCGGTTTTCTTTAAATAGACAGTGTAAGTAAATTATGATGATCCTATTATAATTAAACAATAATTCTAGGTCGAATTAGTTGGTTATAAATCAAACCAAAAACCAAAAGGTAAACCCCACTTGAAAAAATGTTACATTAGGTTAGAAATGCATTATTTAAATTACATTACCTTACAATTTGTTTTAAAAATAATTATTCTCAACAATGACACTTATATTGTATTTCATTAATCTGTAAATCGCCAAAGCTTATTAAATTGAAATAACATGATTAACAACAATTAGAGCTACGAATCAAACATATGTTACAATAAAAAAACAATAACCAATTTTTCTCACCATTAAAATGAAAGCCAAATTATGGAAAAAAATTATAACTTACCATTGCCCTCTAAATCGACTAAAACATGTACATAATAAATACAAATGTGAATAGCAGAAAAATCTGTGTTTTTTTCTTTAAAAAAGTCATATCTATTATGTGTATCATGTGACATCCAGGTTCTATTTTGGTCAAAAATTGAAGAATGTCTACAACATCTATGTTTTTGCAGACATTATCTACTTCAACAAAAGCTATTAAATACACGTCTGGAAATAATTAAGCAATTCTGTGATATCATAATCATAAAATATTTAGTATTTCACAAAAACTAAAAGTAAAAAATATATTCTGAATTTTAATGATTTTGGATAGACCTTATCGCTATTTGTCTGCCATTACTGAATATCACAGCCATTCCTGTAAAATGTTGATGCCACAGAAGAAAATGTCTGGCAACACTACAGAAAAGTGATTTGGACATGAAATCATTTTCAAGTATTGCAAATTATCAGGTCCATTGTCGCAGATTCAAGAATACCTATACGTCTATTGCATTAACCTCTAATTCCAAGTAAATTCATTGTTCCCATTTGGCATGTCTAAAAATGTGAGATGCACAAAAACATATCGTAAATGAACATTTATAAAATCATAAGTTTACCTGAAAATAGTCTGGATAGTTTGATTGGTATCATGCAAACACCATATTGCTTGGCATGTTCTGTTGCCTCCCTTGTTGCTGCATCCATACGCTTTGGACGTCTGGGTCTCATCTGGGTCAGTTCCTTTTCTACAAATCCACCACCTTTACTAGAACCTGTTCAAAAGAAAAAAAGCATTAGAAATTTAACAGATTTACAATGTTGATCTATGTACTACATTGTACTATTCATGCAAGTACCTTTTTATTGCAACTATTGGCTTAAACAACTACTGTAAATTTAAAAATTTTTGAGAGGTTTTTATAAATGCTAATAATGTGATTGGGTGAATATCGCAATAATAAGAACTCGCATTCTGATAACCGAAACATGTATCTGTATGCAGATTCTCCTGAAATCATAATAATAAAGCTCACAATATTGTCTATTCTTCAAAAATCATAATAATAAATGCACACAATAATTTTTGAATTTATAGTACAGGTTAATTAGTGATATTGATTCAACTTATTAATACAGAGAACTTACCGGTACTTGTATATGCATATCTATCTATTAATTCAAAACAACAAACCCTTACTTATCTCTTCTATATAAAGAAATTTATAGGTCAAAACATCAATTCCTACTGTTGGTTGTCAAAGATTGGCACTTGTAATGATGTACATATTGAATGCCCAATTAATTGTATTCCACTATTTAAAATAGTCACAATACAATAAAACAATAAAAGTAACCCAAAGCTTTGAAGGAATGCAAAAAGCAGTTCAACAAATTAATATAAATTTCAAGACAGGAAATTTTTTTTTGCATCATAATAGGTAAATGAATTTATCTTTTTCATGTTTTGCTTACTATGGTTTTGAAATGGGTAAGTAAACTAGGCTAGTTTCGTGTTAATCTATTGGCCTAATCAAATTATCGAAAAATTCAAAATAATATTTTTTCTCAATTTTACAACTTATAGTTTGAATACCAGCATCTAAGTTATATCACTGACCATGAAACCTTTCCAAATTAACCTGGTTTTCAAAGTATTTTTATTTATTAGGAAGACTGGCATGCATTCACAATAAATCTTACAACTAAAATTGATTGTAAGCATACTGAATTGTTCATGACTTACAAGTAATTTAGTTGCAAGATTATTTGTAAAACCAAGCCCTGGACCCATATAGCAACAAAAGAACAAAAAAAAATCACAAATAAAATATTTACCCAATGATGCTGATGATTTGATGTGTCTCTGTGTTGGTGATCCTGACTGACGACTTTGTTTTCCTGAACTTCCTGCTTTACTCTTTGGAGAATCTCTTTTTGGAGATTGTCTTTTTGGAGATCCTGGTGCAGCATCTGGTCCAGCTAATCGACCTAATCTACTGAAGGAATTTCTAAAATAAAGAAAAGATACAAGAAAAATAAGTGATTAAGACTTCTGTATTTTCAATGGAATTATAAATATCAAATACTATATAGAAATCCTTGTATTGTACGTCAAAGATATTTCTTTATAAACAAAAATATGAAAGTGAAATTTCCTGATACACAATCCTTATAAGGTTCTCTGCAGTATTTTTCTGAATAAATTTGTGAATCCAAATAATGTAAGCACAGATGGCAAACATGATGTTTTGATAAAGGAAACCTAAAAAAAATCACTTAGGTAAAAAAAATTAAATAGCAGGTGCTTAACTTTATGACCTATGAAAGAATCTGTGCAAGTTTTGTTGAATTCTGTCTATCTGTTTTCAAGGAGTTTCAGGTTAACAAATTGTTCCATGCACAACAAGGACCAAGATGATGCAACACAACAGAAGTGATATCTTGGTGTTGCAGCATATAAACACTATCAGGCAACACAAAAATTAAATAGCTGGAGAAAAGTTTAAAACAAATGTTTGATATCTATCTTGAAGGATCAAAATAATAAGCAGTTTGGCTGCTTTGTGTCTACAAAATGTTACAAAGAGGTGAATGGAAGACAATGCTGGTACACAGACTAATTTACATGTTACACGTTACTATACTGCGAATTCATTATTGTTCGTGGGATACCAATTTTCGTGGATTTCGTGGTTACAGACAAACCGCGAATTTAAATGTTCAACGAATTTCAATTTGTATAGGCTTGTATGCAGACTTTGGCAAAACATCGATATCAAATATCCATGAAAATGTAAGTTTTCCTCAATCCACGAACATTGGTATCCACGAAAATAAATGAAACCAAAGTATATGTTTTGTAATTTTTTGTGTAAAGGGAAAATAAATATACCTTCCATCCTCTATAGCTGCACTTGGAACACCCATCAATGTCTTAGGTGTAGGAGAACCCTGGCGAGACTTCTGAGATTTTTTGTCAGATGTATTATCATCCTGAGACTTAGCAACTGCTACTGGTTCTGCAAAACAAGAATTCTGAATTTATTTTGATGAACATATGTACTTTCATCTGAACATAATAAGTAATAAATTTGTAGGATATGCATTTTCAAAATATAAAGACAGAAATATGGACCATTTTGATGCCTTATAGAACCTATTACTTTGCAAGATGATATACATGTACTTACAATGTGAAATAAAAGAAATTTTTCATTTGAACATTATATGTTATTTGTAGGATATGCATTTTCAAAATTTAAAGCCAGAAATATGGACCATATCGATGCCCCATCAAACCTACTCCTTTGCAAGTTGAATGAAGATCTTACCTTCTTTTTTCTTGTTTGCCATTTCTAAATTGGTAAAAGACACCTGTGTTGGCAAAGGACGTAAATCTGTTGATTTCTTGGGCTGTAATTTGTTGAAGTTCTTGAATTGTTTTGATACCTTAGCCCTGACCCCTCTGTTCTCTACATCCCCTAAAAATAAAGAAAACATATATTGATAAAAACTGAATAAGTAAAATGAAAAAAATAGAAATTAAGATGGAGTTACATTTTAGGTGTACTTTCCATTTTGACATGGGTCTGTAGCATATGTTATATAATTGCAGAACTTTTGCTGGAAAATAATATATAGAATCCTTCATGAAGTATACAACAATTACCCTTATTAAAAAAAAAATATTTGATCTATCCAGACAAAATCTTTTTTTTTCCTTTTAGTTTTCAAATCTTTGAACTTTTAAATGCTTCAGGGAGTATAAATAAAACTTGCTATACTTTTTTTTACAGTTTGTGAAAATGTTTTCTAAATCTTGCATTTTTCAAGTTAAAATAAAATGCATATGTTTAAGTTTTAAAGCTATGGGTTGTGCAAAATTTGTCAAGTTTAATCAGTATAAGACAGTGAAAATACATAGTTATGAAACTAGAAAGAAAAAGTGAGAGAATTTGGTAATTAAATACATAAAGAAAGCTTTTACAAAATATATTGTACATTTAAAGAAATTGGGTCATTATATTTCTTTTCTTTCAAATTTTTTTTGAATAAAAATACAGTACAATCTATTATAAAAATAAATCATCTGAGTTATCCCCCTTTAAACATCAAAGTCTTGAAGTTTATAAAATATAGAAATCGTTTTAGGGATATTTTGAAAGTCCCTTCCTACCCTCCCGCATACATTTTAATGGAATAGCCCTAAACGTTTTTAAACATTATAGTGGAACATTTTAATACTACATGTATCTTTATACATATGACTTTCCTCACAATACAAGTTAAAGTTCTATATCTCTTTTAAAGCATTTATTTTTTTTGTCATTGAAAAGATATTAAGGAAACCTTTATTTTAAATAAAACAGATAAATTCTAGTCCGTGCATTATTATGATCAATCTAAAATAAGGTCAGTTCCCTCTATCAGCAAAATAGTTAATAGAATAAACTATTTGTTTGTAGCTGACATAATTGTGAACATACAACATAATGTGATCTGTGTGACATTTAAACTTACCTCCAATAATAAGTCTTAATATAAAGTATCATAATCAATTTCTTGTTTGCAATTTAGAATTTTTCTAATTGCTACAGAAGGGAGGTAATTAGCTAATACAATTTGGATTCATAATTTCTTGTGGAATACATGTACTATTTTTTATGTAATCGTGAGTGCAATTGAACACTGAATTTAAAAAGTCAACAAATAATAAATTTCCTATAAACTTGTATGCAGAATTTGTTAAAACCTCAACCCAAGAAAATTAGTACCCATGAAAATAAATGAATTCACAGTAAACATGGTATATAAAAAGTTCTTTAATGGATTTATAAAAATATTAAAGAGCTGCGCCATGAGTGCATGATACGCCCATCGCTTTTTCAAAGAATAAAGTTCTATAACTCCCCAATGTCATACCAGAAATTTATAAAAAAATAAAGGAAGGTTATACTAATATATATAAAACAGTCACCAAAGTTTCATGAAAACTGGAAAATCCCCCCTTTTTATGAATAAAATCCCATAACTCAAAAACGTGGAATCTAAAATTTATAAAAATCAAAAGGGAGCTTACGTCAATAGATATAAACAATTCACCAAAGTTTCACGAAAACTAATCAAACATTTTTGAGTTATTGTCCGAAAACTGGAATATCCTTTTTTTTAGTGATTAAAACCCCATAACTCGGAAACGTAAAATCTAAAATTTAGAAAAATTGATAGGGAGCTCACGTCAATAGATATAAACAATTCACCAAAGTTTCATGCAAATTGGTTAAAGTGTTTTTGAATTATTGTCTAATATGTTGATGACGGACGGACAGACGGACTTACAGACGGACAATGGTTTACCATAATACATCCCGTAAACGGGCATATAAAAATGAAATCCTACTATTTTAAGGTCATCATTTTTCAGTCTGAGTGATTGAATCTATGTTAAGTGTTATTTACCTGATCTGTTTGAAGGCAATTTGATAGGTTTGTTTAGTCTATCGTTTTTAGCTGTAGGTTTCAGTTTCTCCTTGATGTTCCAAACACGCATTTCCAGGGTATGGTCAAATAACTTCAATAATACATCTTTGTTTATATCAACAGTTTGACTGAAATTAAAAAAAAAGAACAATTAATACGTGTACTGTCATTACATCTTGTATTTGGATGATTAACATTATTGCGCTAATTAATAGTGTTGACGCCAAACTAAAATGTCTCTTCTATTTTTTCTGCATTGAAATTCTGTGCAAATTTACTCTGGTCATTCTGTATTCAGGCACTGTTTATGACGTTGCTGAAGTACAGCAGATAATATTAGAGTGTTGGACTAAATTATTTCATATTATCAGGTTAAGTTTGTCAAGATTACTTTCTATATAATGATTTTGTCATTTACAGAGTAAAGTATTGAAGGCAGAACTTAGATAGCCTATGTAATTGTACATTCAAAACTATTCTAGGACTCAAGGCAATTAAAAGCTTGACATATTGTATTAGCCATTTACCATATGCTTAACTCTAATTGTCTTTTGTTTTTGAATGTCATTGGGTTTAATAAACCATTGATGTATACCCCACACCTCCTTTAATTAGAATTAAGCAGTTCTTTTTCTGCTACATCAATTTAATTAGTTTTAAATTGTACCGTAATGCTCTAAAATGATTCAGTATAGTGTAAATAAGACACTGTCTTATCAAATGCTTTCAAGTGAGAATCATTTTTTTATTATCTGTCATAACACTTAATGATAATTACATTGATTCAAACTAAATTGATATACATTTCCGTGTAAATGCCATAAATTCATAAGAAATACATTATAAATAAACATTAAGTGAAACTTGGGTTACCGTTATGACTTAAAATTTTACCACAAACTATTTATTTACTAATGAATCTTACAGTTCAATACTCTTGGCTCAAAAGTAAAGAGTGTTGTGTCTCAATCTTAATAAAAAGATTTGTTTACATTTTATTTGACTGCCATTTTAACAGTTAAACATTCTATAATTTTAAAATTTTGACAAACAACCTTGTAAAGTTGGACTACTGTGTATTCCTTTAATTTTGTGGAATCCAATTTTCATGGATTGAGAAAAAATGTATTTTCATGGATATTTGATTTCGTGGTTTTTGCTTTGACAGCATTCAAACCTATAGAAAATTTGTACTTCGTTGAACATTATAATTTGTGATTTACCTATCCCCACAAAAATTGAAAAAAAATAGTATAATAAATGAAGTGGGTCTCATTGGGGTGTAAGGGTGATGCGGGATTGGCCAATTTTTTGTAAGCGTGACACGCCAAAGTCAAATTATTGTGCGTGAAAACGGAAAACGAAGTCGGGCGGGACACGTGAAATTACAAGCATTACAATTACAATGATAAGGAGGATATGGGAATCTGACAAAACAATTACTGGAATCTATGTTCATACACCCCCCCCCACAATGAGACCCCTAATGAATCCACAGTATGTTTGCAGTTAACTGATCTATTACAATTTAAATGCATTAAACCACAGAATTACAGCATCAAGCATCCCAAATATTGACACCTACATTTACAATGTACAACATCTAAATTTTATGTAACCTACTGATGAGTCCATGCCACCCAAGTAAGGTCTCCTTCCTGCCAAGTTCTTTCATTTCTTGCAGCGTCTGGATATTTGAAGAGTCTAAACAATGGACCATACAACACCAGATCTGTGACGGTTGGAGATGTGCCAGGAAGTACAGAATATTCTGTATGGAAATAACCTTGTGGGCGAGAGACTTCAAAAGTTCGTTTCTTTTTCTTCATTAATTCTTTCAGATCTGGAACATCATCATCCTCGACTACAAAATAAAGTAAAACAATTATTCATTTAAATATTAATAGTGACATTTATTTCGAATAGACAGTAAAAATTTGAAAGGAGCAACGATGGCAATTTATAAGCTAGAGTGCCATGCATAACTACTCTTTTAAGAAAACAAGACAAAATTTAATAACTTTGCCAAAGAATTAAGACAAATACAGATGTTATATATGGGTATCAGTCTCATTAACATTTACTCAACTTTTTCTTCTTCATAACGAATAAGGAGGTTACATCAATAGAACAATCCTAAAGGCTTTCCCTCCCTCCTCCTCCCCCCCCCCCCCCCCCCCCCCCCCCCCCCCCCCCCCCCCCCATTTGGTGTACCATCATGCAACAAATTCATGATTAAAATTTTGCATTCACTTCATAACATATAGTGAGACTTTTGAGGTGCCCTGAGGCCAAAAATAAAATTTGAATTGTTTGATGGTGCCTTCCCACCCACCTAATAAGCAGCATACTCAAAAAATTTTATGACATAAATCATTTCAATTTTTTTTTAAAGATTTTTTCCTGCTCTTACGTCGTTTCCTTGTCTAAAATGTGTAACTTATATTGTTTGACTAAAAAAATAAAAAATCCCTACCTACCTTCCCAACCATACAAGGCACAGGTAAGCAACATCAAACAAAGAATTTTTTAAGGATGGCCTTACTACGTGTATTGCCTGAACTTATCACAGTGAATATTTACAACAATTTGTATATTCAGAATTGCTTAAAAGATGCTGGATTCCTACTTGTGATCAAATAAAAAATTTAAAAAAAAGAACATATTTATCAACATTTTATTTCGTCATTTTATCACAATTACATAGACACTGCTTTTTCTTTAATGAAACTTGTCTTGAAAACTAATCCTAAAATTTTTAAAAGCAAATCTTACAAAATATGAATGTATAACAACAACGAAGGCTCCTCTTCCAAAAGAAAATGATGAAGATTTTTTTACATTTCTGTAAAACATGCAGTCTTGGGATAATACATATCATATACCAGTATATTGTTATTTTTTACTCTTTGTGAAACCATAACACATGCAAAACACACTTAAGATATACAATAAATATATCAAGTATAATCTTACTCGTGCAATATTTGCTTTTATGGTATGAAAATTACAAAGTATCTGACCATACATGCAGGATAGGGATATCAAATGTATTTTGACCAAAAAAAACTTAATATCATTTTTCTATCATCTTAAGAAATATATAAATCAATTGTGACATGCTTGACATCCTATAAGTGAAATAAATTTATATATCATGCATGAAATTGTACCCCATGAATCTTCTTCTGAACTTGATAATGCATGTAAACCTAGAGAAAAAAATCATTTGTTAGTATTAAAGTGGTTTATACATAGTGCAACTCAGTCAATGATACATTTATGATTGATTATTGGTTGCTTAATGTCCAACGGCAAATATTTCATGCATATTCAGGACAACAATGAACAATGAACATTGTAAAAATTGAAAAATTCGGAAAATGACAACAAATATGTAACAACAGAAGTTAAACAGACATTACCTGAGTATCTCACGCAGAGAAAAATCCACAAAGTTTTTATTCTGCCAAAATATTTAAAACTATGTTACAAAACCAAGTCCCACGATTTTATGCATTTTGTAAAACTTTCCCTGATGAAGCCCAAGTCCAATATGGAAACGTCAAATGTTAAAACAACCCAAATCCAATAATGAAATCATTTGCATAACTTTGTAACAAGTTGTATCTTGTACTGTATAGATATGCAAAACAACAGAATTTCCTGGGACAAATCAATGAAAGTATAATAGAGAGAAACTAATCAATAGTCCATCAAACACTGTTAGAATAACAAGAATTTTATTTCACTTTTTATAGCAACTATCAGTGCTATATTTCAAGTTTACAATTAATCTTAGCACCATATAGCAAACATTGTCACGGAAACTGATAGTTGAATAATTGATCATGTATGTAACTTTCTAGACTTCTTAGTCTTTTGGTAGGATCATTGCAACTTTTATGTAATACAAACAATTGAACAAGTAAGAGGCACACATAGTTATAGGCTAATATAACTTCTTTAGTTATTGTTTTTAGTCTTAACTTTCTAAAAAGCAAAAATACATGGACCTGTTTATCTCTTCTTTTTTTTTTTTGGCCACATTGTTTTTTTCAACTTATTTTCTGAATCTCTTAGTCTTTCATCAATTACAGTGCAAAAGGTGGTTTATTACCTTTCATGAGAGACTCCAAAAACCTTAGATTTATCTCAGTTCTGCCTGGGAAAATTTTGATTTCAACAACAAAAATGAGATAACTCTTGAAAAAATTTAAAACGGAATTGATCATACAAGTTAACTTCTATGTCATTTGGTCTCTAGTGGAGAGTTTTCACATTGGCAATTATACCACATCTTCTTATTTTTATATGAACACAATAATGAGTTCTGTTGTAAAAATTTATCAAAAAATATATATACTTATTGTAAGTAATATAATGAAGCTTAAAGTTCACTTGGAGACTAAACATTTTGGTCTTCTTTTTAAGAAAGACCCTTTCCTACTTTTTGTCTGCTCACTGAACCCAAATTTTGGCAGTAAAAAACCTAGTTATAGCACTTAATAACATGGTTTTTCCTCCCAACACAAAAGCATCCTTAATAATTAAAAATCAATAGTAAAAAGTCTGGTTTTTGAGTTACGGATCAAAAATGATGAATAAATATTTGATTTTTAAGATAAGATTTCCTATATAAACAGATATGCACATGTAATCTCTTGCACATATTTGTCCTAAACAAACAATTAGAATTAATTAACAATATTTAATTGTATTTCATACTTTCCCTGAGGAAAATATCTGTCGGATTTTTATTGAAAAAGCATACAAGATGAAAGTACGATTATAGCTGTATATTCCATGTTGGGACAACTAATCAATAAACACGTCAATAAACAAGCCTGTAATCTTTTAACAGTTTCTCCTCTAGGATTAATTAATAATTGGAATTGATTGATTTTACACTACCAATTAATGATTTTCAATTAAGTGTAATAGTTTTCACTTTTATCATGCCTAAGCCATTATCACCTGTTAAGTGTATCGTGTCATGAAAGTTTTTTGTTGCAATGGACAGAGAAAGGGCTTCTTCATAAAATGGCATTTTTACAATGTCTACTGTTATGGTAATGGTGTTCTGTCATGAATGTTAATAATTCGAGAATCCATTGTAAATTAATTGGTTTTTGAATACAAAAACTAGGTGTTGAAATGTCATTATGGGAGACATGGCAAAATTGATTAAATATTTGATGCAAACATCATCATCACTTGCCTTTGAAATAAACTATTTAACATGTAATAATTGTATAACAGTCTTCAAACAAAACAGTATCAAAAAGACTACACAGTAACAGAGTAATCTTCAAATTTAGCAACAAGACCAACAGCCCAGGCCAGTAAAATCTTAGTAGGGCTTGTAAAATTTGTCTAAAATTAGGGAGCTACAAGCCAGTTATATATACATAAAAAAAATGTTGAAAAATCAAAAGTCAAAACCTTTTTCCAGAAGACTGACGGAATGACTGAACATGGTAACAGACTGACTGAACACAGCAACAGAATGAATGAACACAGTAACAAATTGACCAAACAAAGAAACAGAATTACCCAACATAGTAACAGACTGACTAAACACAGTAAAAAACTGACTAAACACATCAATAAACTTACTTAACACAATAACTTACTGATTAAACAGAGAAACAGACTTACTTAACACAGTAACAGACTGACTTAACACAGTAACAGACTGACCAAACACAGTATCAAACTGACTAAACACATCAACAAATTTACTAAATACAGTAACAGACTGACTAAACACAGTAACAAACAGATTAAACACATGTACAGTAGCAGAATGATTCAACATACAATGTAGTAATAAAATGACTAAAAACAGAAACAAAACAAATAAACACAGTAACAGACTAATTAAACACAGTCTGAATAAACATAGTAACAGAATGATTCAACATAGTAACACAATGACTAAACACAGTCAAGGACTGAATAAACATAGTTACAGACCTCTTTTGATTGATTTTAGGCGGTATCTAGATGGCATGAACTCCATATCTTCTTTTATTCAATATAAAAGAACATGAATACAAATAACAAAAGAAACTTATATAGGCTCTTATAATATCTATTTCTCTATGAATTATTTAGTCCACACTAAAGTCAAAACTGGATACTGTGGATTCATTTATTTTCGTGGGTACCAATTTTCGTGGATTAAGGAAAACTTACATGTTCGTGGATAATTAATTTCGTGGTTTTTGACAATGTCTGCATACAAGCCTATAGTAAATTTGCAATTCGTTGAACTTTTAATTTCGTGGTTAACATATAACCACGAAATCCACAAAAATTGGTATCCAACGAATAATAATGAATTCACAGTAAAGTAAAATGTCTGCATCCAATTTATTCAACCCTACATGTTATAAAAATAAACTGTAAACACAAAGATATGCCTCGACTAGATCGTATCACAAACTTTTTCAACAGTTGATGCCACCATAGCAACCAACATCCATACAGGAAACAGCATGCCTAAGTCTTGCTTCAGCGACTTTTGTCACAGGCAAGAAATAATATAACAAAAATTGAACACTGTCGATCACGAGTATTTTCCTACAAAATTCCTTGAAAACTATGAATACATTATATATAAACGGTTTTGCATTTACAGTGGAAAGGTATCTTTTAGGCTGTGTAATTCTAATAAGCAGAGAAGCACAATTCTAATCAAATAAATTTAAATAATAGATATTAGTTTTACTCTAAAAATAAAAGAAAAATAAATAATATGGCAATAATTTTCATGAAACACAAAGAATTAAAAATATCTTTTTACTTTAAATTACAACAGTAATACATGCAGGAATAAAATTAAAACACAAACAAAAAAGTGTGCAATATCAATAAATTTTTCTAAAAAAATATTAACAAATTAAAAAAAATTACCACAAGATAATATTTTCAATGTAAAATTATTAGTAGTTTTGATAGTTTCATTTTATGTTTTCCATTATATTATTAAATATATAAATATTAATAAAATGTAAAATTACTATTAAAATCATAAAGATGACATAAAAAGATGATCTATAAGTGCCAACTAAAGGTACATCCAAGGTCATTGCTATTTCACTAATTCTCTGGAAAATTTGAGTTACCTCCCTTGGAATGAATGTCAATAACTTTACCAAACATTAACAGATTATTTATCTAATAAGACTAATTGTCTAAAAAAACAAGTTGAATAATTAATAATACTTAAAAATAATATTATTCTATCAAATGTTCAAATGACAAATTATTAAAATAATTGATTCAGATTTTTTTTCTTTTCAACTCAAGCTATTTTTAATTATCTTTTTATCCAAAGAATTAGGAACAGGATAATATGACCTAAATATAAAGGTGAATCAGAGCCACCTACCACTCATGGCCAAAGCTGCTGCATTCATATCATCTGAAACATTGTTATAATTATAAATATACATCTTATTCAAAACATAAATAAAGACACTACTATAAATTCTGAAATTTTTGCAATGTTTTTATTATTGTGAAAATTGTGACGGAATAGATTTAGCAAAAAGAAAAAGAAAAAGAAGCATTTTGAATTTTGATAGCATTATTTGTATGTAGAATTTCCCGAAGTTGTAATAATAATTTAAACCATAGTTCCATAATCACAATAATAAAAAAAGCGCCAAAATTTCTGAATTTACAGTACATTGAAATGTTATTTAAATATATAGAAACAGAAGGAGAGTTACATATAAATATACATTGATGACACTCATGAACATAGATACATTTTTTACTGTGGTTAAGGTCAAGATGTTAACAGGGAAGATTTCCATACACTTTGAATGGGAAATAATCATGAGCAAAAACTCATGAAGTTGTCAGAGCTTAAGTTGTTAGGAAGTTACAATAGATGGGGTGATTCAGGTTGAATAAATCCTGTAAAACAAATTCCTGGAAAATCTCTTATTACCATGTACATGAAAAATCTAGACAATGAAAAACTTGACCATTTCTGTTTTATTTTATTTTCATATCCTTGTCATAAAAATTCAATTATTTGGAACCCTAAATACATGTACAAGTAACTTCAAAACCTAAATCTGACTGTTGTGGTCTCTTGGGTTTTTCCAGAAATAAAAATAAAATTAAAAGAGCGAACTGGATTACATTTATTTTTTTTTCATTTTATTCTCAATTTGACAGATATTGATTCGTTAATATTATTATAATTATAATCTTCCAAACCAAACCTAAAAATTATTTTTGTGGTCTCTTGGGTTTTCCATAAATCTTTTTTTCCTCATTTTTCCCCCTTTTTATTTTACAGATATTGTTTGTTATCATTATTATGAAAATCTTCTATAACCAAACCCGAAACTGATTTTTGTGGTCCCATGGGTTTCTAGAAATCAAAAGATTAAAAGTGGGAATTGGGTTATAACTTATTTTCTCCCATTCAATTTTAGATATTGAATATTATCGTTTTTACAATAGTAAACCAACCTGTTGGTACTGCTACAGATACAGTAATTTTAAACGTGACACTATGCGTAACATCTTGGACCACAGCTTTCTTTCCTCTTCGAGATTTACCAATTGAAGTATTACTTCCACTACTCTTAGGCCTGTCAATACTTTCAGAACTTTTGGGTCGACTATCAACAGATTTTCTTCCTGATGCAGGACTTTCATTGTCCTTTATACTTTGCCTGCTACCAGATCTCTCTGGTGTTTTATTCCTTTCATTTTCAGGACTTATTTTGCTGTCAATTTCAGGAGTTTTGTTTTCCTCCTCTTTCTCTGTCCTTCTTTCATCTTCTTTTATCTTTGCTTCACTTTCACTCCTTGCTGAATCCTTTGTGGTGGATTCTTCCCCTTCCATTTTCTTTGACCTCACAATGTATGCTTGCTTTTATATTATGTTCCCATTACCTTTTCTGAAAAACAGAATGAATATTGTTGAAATGCATTTTAAAAAAATGAAAATCCTAAACAAACCATTAT